CCCTCCTGAGTTACCTAGGGTGATGGTGATGCCTGGTGACGTCAACATAACCAATTCTAGCTCTCATCCAGATCTTCTTCCTTTTATGAATAAACCTTTCGATTTTAGATTCTAAAGGATTGGCAACAGCATGATTTGTGGGTAAGATCTGATTTGTATATTGACCTGGGTCTGGGGCTTGGTCCTTTGGGATCAGGAGAACCTTTTTCTTTTACTGGGGTATTGGTTTTCATAACCATTCATCCCCATAACGAGTGGCACTGGTGGTGATAATGGGAAACTGGAGTGTCTGAGGGAGTTGCTGGTGTGACTTGTGGTTCGCCAGTGGGGTGAGACCGAAGTCCTCTCTGTAGGGCTGGTTTGGTGCCTGGGTGTGCAAAGGACCCCAGCCTTGGGCGGGGTCTGCCCTGCTCTGAGCGATTTGTCCTGGATTGATACTCTTGGTTGTGTCCCACCAGAGGCAGCATCGGTACAGGGATCCTGCTTCTCCCCACTGCCCCCCAGATATGCGAGACTCCCGCCTTGCTCCTGGATGTGGGGGATCTGTGCCTGGTAACAGCTCTCTCTCTCTCTCTCTCCCCCCTGCGGTATCCCGTGGCCCCCCACGGTTCATCCCCTCTCACCTGTCACCGTGAGGTGGGTCCCAGGGACACCGCGCCATTGCTCCCATTTGCCATCATTCTTCTGCACCCTGACTTGGCAGACGTACTCGCTGGCGTCCGACTCCCGCAGCCGGTCGATGCAGATCGAGGCCGTTCGGTTCCCCCGTGGGTCCCCGACCAGGACGATGCAGCCCCCGTAATCCGGGTGGGTGAACCCCTCAGTGTGATTGTAGATAAACTCGCCATGGTCCCCCCCCCCCGTCTCCAGTAAACCTGGACGTCCCGTAGTGGCTTGATGTCGCGGGGGTAGGTGAAGGCGCAGGGCAGGGTGACGGAGCCCCTGGCTGGCGCCGACAGGGACACGGGCTGGGTTATCTGGTACCGGAGATCCTGGGCAGCCGCTGCAAAGACCCACAGAGACACAATCCCATCACCGTGGCCAACCCTGGGGTCCCACCCACAGCCAGCGGGTCACAAACACCCCCCA